GTTCCTTCAAATGGGAAAGAGTGGGACTCCGTTTAAGCGCTAGGATTTCTAACATTAATTTGACAAGCGTCGGCTTCCCCTATCCTTACACCCCTTCTTCCTCCGTTCCCTCTGCAATCTCCAATTTGAGAAGGGTAAACATCCCAGTCGGATGTTCTCTTCGCTTCCAGGCAGGTCGGCCGGCCAGCACTGGCGCGGCCGGTGCCCACCGGCTGGATCCGCCATCTTTCTCTCTTGGCCCAACCCCAACCGCCACCCGCTGGCACCGGTGGCGCAAACCTCACCTTTCTTCGCAGTCCTTACATTTCACTTGCAATGGGACCAGTTGCTGGAACAGAACCTGGCTCATGTTGGACCGCTGCCCCAGCTGTTGTGAAGAAAGGCCCGGCCCTCAGCACTAGCCTGGATGCGTCCAGGTCCTGGTAAAGTTTGAGTTTGGCGCTCGGCTCCCGCAGAGGAGGCGGAGAAACAGAAACAAGAGGGGAGACGGAGGAGGTTTGGACTTTGCAAGCCACCGTCAGTTTCTTCCGGTATTACGAAGAATGGAGAAAAGACGGTTGCGGAGTTTCCGGAAATTAACATGTCTGGCGGGACGCGAGGCAGTCATGTTTGTTAAGGGAAAGGGACTCAAGGGAAGCTGATAACTTTTCTTCTCTTTCTCGGGTGCTCAACGCCGGAAGCGCGTCCTAAATTATGGCGGCTTTTGTGCTGAAGCCACAAGCCACTGGTTTTCCAGCGGAGGGTAGATGTGGTTACTATGTGGAAAGGAAAAAGCGATTCTGCAGAATGGTGGTGGCAGCAGGGAAACGGTTCTGTGGTGAACACGCCGGAGCCGCGGGGACTGACGTGGAGGTCTAGTATCACCGTACCTTCCCGAGAGTCGGAAATTAGTTTCCCGGTCTGGGGGGTGCTGGGACGCGGCTCCTCCCCGCGCTGAAAGATTTCGGCTTTACCTGGATTATCTGTTATTTCCTTAAGTAAACACTGTCCTGCTCTTCCGGGGGAACGATGATAATAAATAGAGATGAGCAGTATTTTCTTTTACTAAATAAAGCGCAGCAGCGACTCATTTATCTTAGTCCTAACTCAGGATCATGCGAGATTTTATTTTACTTCAAACTACCGATTCCTACGCCGCCCTCTTCTAACGCCACTGGTAGTTTAGAAAGTCGGTAATTGACGATCCCGAGTTTAACTAATCATGTTCTAACAATTGTTTCTTAAGTGATATGATATTCTTTGTGAATGCGGTTGAAATGAACTTTAAAGTTGTTTCTGTGTGTTTCAAGTTTAGATCTTTTATCGTTAGAAAGCCACACAAAAGTAATTCTGGCAAAAGGGAGGCTAGATTAAGGACCGTCATAAGAATTGACTCTTAAGAATTGATAGCACAAATCCGTACAATTGCGTTAGATGATCCATATCATTGTACTATCAGGCAGTATATATTTGTATGTGTGGACTTAACAATTGAGGACTGGGCAGTCTTGCAGGACCGGGTAGAGTTTCGTTCTCTTGTGCATAGGGTCGCTATGGGACGGAACTGACTCTATGGCACCGAACAACAACAAAATACTTCTTTAGGAGATAAATGTATATGTACATATGTATAATGCGGGAGAAAGATGAGACTTTCTGCTCCCTATATAGAGTTGCTGTGAGTCGGAAACTACTCAGCACTTAAACAACAAATATATATGATATATAAAAATAAGAACTAGAGGAGTAGGATGCTAGAGAAAAAGAACATGTCAGATTGAGGGGCTTAGAATAAATAAACCTGCTGACTATACAATATTATTTACATTTATTTTCTTTCTTAGTCAAACGATTTATCTTTCTAGGCAATATCCAGTACAGATCAGTTCCCTGAGTCCTGTCATCTACCATTGTTTGTCAAAAGCCATAGCTCGGCTTTCTGCTTTGATTTACCTAGAATGAAGCATCCTGAATCAAGGATGTCCTTGTGTTTTGAACATGGGAGACCTGTAAGTTAATTAGGAAAACTCGATAAAGCACACCTACAAAGGAGCTCTGGTAGCGTAGTGCTTACCAATCGGCCTGCGAACCATAAGGTCAGCAGTTCAAAACTACCAGCCGCTCTGCGGGAGAAAGATGAGGCTTTCTACTCCCGTAAAGATTTACACCCTCGGAAACCCTGTACAGGGTCGCTATGGGTCGGAACCGACTCGACGGCACTTAACAACAACAACAACAACAGTTAGTTGCCCTTGCCGGTTTTTTAACGTCTCAGTTAACCATTAAATAGATTTTATTTGTTCTCTGTTACAAGGCCATAGACTTCACAGCACCCAGCCATTCGGAAGGTGACAATAGTAGATCGTTAAATAGATCATTACAAGCTGATTGGTATTTCTGAAGAGGAATTCATGTTGTTTTCAGTGGCGGTGGTGGTTATGTGCCATGAGGTTGGTTCCGACTCATAGCGACCCTGCATAGGGTTTCCAAGGCTGTTTTACGGGAGCAGAAAGCCTCATCTTTCTCCCGTAGAATGGCTGGTAGTTTTGAACTGCTGACCTTGAGGTTGGCAGCCTGACTCATAACCAGTGCAATACCAGAGCTCCTTTTTAGTCCATTGAATAAAACTGCAAAACATCCCATGACTGATTTGGTTTTGAATCATAGCCATCTTATTGAATCTAATTTATGATGCATGTGGGTGTTGTTTCAATTCTTTTGAAAAAGGCATCACAAGTTCATGTGATGGGACTAATTGTGCTCATTTAAACCCATTTGTCCTCATCTAGAGGTGATTTTGCCTCCCAGGAGCAATTGGCAAAACCTGAAGACATTTTGATTGTCACAACTGGGTCGTGTTACTGTCATCTACTCAGTAGACACTGAGGATGCTACTAACCATCCTAAAATGTACAAGACAGCTACCCACAAAAAAAAGAATTCTCCAGTCAAAAATGTCGAGGTAGAAAAGTCCTCTTTCTAATCCCAAGCAGTAAGTAGAAATAGTACTGTTTTATTAAATCATTAGAATTAGCATTTTTTCTTATGTGGAGCTAGGTTTTAAAGTTAGCAGGCAAATAAGAAATAGCAGTATATATATTTTTTAATTAGTGAAAAAATCATTTCACCTTGCAGTGAATACACTGCATAGTTTCATGGATACCTTGAGTGTCACATCAAAGATAAACTGGAAAAAGATAATTTAGCCAACACTTAGCATTTATATATGGCCAACATTGCTAATTATTTTTAAATTTTTTTAACTCATTTAAGTTTCACAAACCTTAGGAGGTAAAACATTTTTCTCTTCTTTCAAATAAGGCAATAAATTAGACTAAAATCACAGAGCTAGTAACAGAGATAAGATTCATACCTAGGCAGTCTATTAGATTCATATGGAATGTTGGACAGAATTTCCAAACTTAATAATTTTTCACATTCTCCATTGTATATAATTATATACATGTAAGTTAGAAATGAATAAGATGAAACATTTCTGTAGTGAAAAGTTGCAAAACCAGCAGAATATGGTCACACAGCAAATAATTAAAATACCGTATTTCATTGTTTCTAAAACACCTTTTCCCCCACATTCTAACACCTTTGAAATCAAGATGCATCTTTATATCACTATGTGACAGTTTAAATTGAAAGTTTTTTTCTTTCTTGGTACATAAAATAATGGTGAATGTTACAATCGATGCTCTCTGAGATTCAAATTCTATATGTAGACATTCTCTATAACTTCTTTGAAGCTGTATACCCTTGTTCATTGAAAACAATATTGTACATATATACGTAAACCAGTTATTTTGGAGCTTCGTTGTTAAGCCCCTTGACCTGATTTTACCTACTTTTTATTACGTTCTTTTAAGGATTTCTTAACCTTGTTTTGGTAATACATGAGCTTATGATTACACTGAATGCTACCCACTACCATACAGTCAATTCCAACTCATAGTGACCTTATCTATGTTTTCCAAGACTGTAATCTTTCTGGAAGCAGAAAGCCTCACTTTTCTCCTGCAGAGTAGTGGGTGGGTTTGAACTGCCAGCCCTGTATTAGCAGTCCAGTGCTTATCCTACAGTGCTACCAGGGCTCACTGATTACACTGAAATTATATCTAGCATTGGTAAGTGATAAACTTGATATTTTATTTAAGTAAATATATTCCTTTTGATCTATTAGGAAGAAAATGCTCGAAAAAGAATCTTGTGTCCTTTAGATCCAAAACAGTAAGTATGGTTCAGATAAGAGTTTCTCTGTGCTAGTATTAGTAAGTGCAACATAATCTTATTTTATCTGATTTTCTTTTTATATATAGCACAGTATATGAAGATCAACTAGCAAAGCATTTGAAAAAATGTAACTCAAGAGAGAAGCCAAAACCTGTAAGTGTTTGATCAGTAAAATTGAATAGTGAAATGTGTGTTGTATATTTATACTTGTTAAGTGTTGTTGAGTTGGTCCCAACTCATAGTGACTCTATACAGGGTTTCTAGAAGCAGCTAGTGAGTTTGAACTACCAACCTTGCAGTTCAAACTGACCTTGCAGCACCACAACATATTACAATTGTGAATGTTTAGTAAGGCTTTACCTCATGAGGATTGATTTTGATCAAATACATCTGAGTGTATATAAGGTTGTTGTTAGGTGCCACTGAGTCAGCTCCACCTCATAGCAACCCTTTGCACAACAGACCAAAACACTGCCTGGTACTACACTATTCTCACAGTTGTTACTATAGTTGTGATTACACTAGTCTATTGCTGCTGCCATGGTGCCAATCCATCTCAAAAAAGGTTTTCCTCTTTTTCACTGATCCTTCACTTACCAAGCATGATGTCCTTTTCCCTCTTGATAACATATCCAAAATGTGACAGACAAAGTCTTGCCATCCTGACTTCTAAGGAACATTCTAGCTGTACTTCTTCCAACACAAATCTGTTTGTTCTTCTGGTAGTCCATGGTTATTTTAATATACTCTCCAACACTATAACTCAAATGCATGAATTCTTCTACCATCTTCCTTATTCATTGTCCAACTTTTCTACCATCTTCCTTATTCATTGTCCAACTTTCACATGCAGAGGAGACTACTGAAAATACTGTGGCTTGGGTCAGGTGCATGTTAGTCCTCAAACTGACATCTTTGCTCTTTAACATTTTAAAGTTGTCTTGTGCAGCAGCTTTGCCTAATGCAGTAGTCATTTGATTTCTTGATGGCTTATTCCTTGAGTGTTGATAGTGGATCCAAGAAAGATGAAATCTTTGACAACGTCAATCTTTTTTCTATTTATCATAATGTTATTTATTGATCCAGTTGTGAAGATTTTTGTGCTCTTTAAATTGAGGTGCAATCCAAACTGAATGTTGTGGTCTTTAATCCTCATTCATAACTACTTTTAGTCCTCTTCATTTCCAGCAAGCAAGATTGTATCATCTTCATCTTCATGTTGCAGGTTGTTGATGAGTCTTCATACAATCCAGCTACTTAGATT